TTTGAACTTGTGATCCTCCTGCCTCAGGAGGATTATAGCTGGGATTATAAACGTGTGTCACTGCATGGAGTAATTTCTTTAATGATTGTGAGGTCAGGGTTTCTCAGTGTCTTCAGTTAGTTTTGGTGATGTTTTTCTAGGACTGCATCCATTTGATCTAAATCCTCAGTTATTGGCATGGATCTGGTCAAAGTGTCCTCCTACTATCTTCTAGGGGCTGTAGCACCCTGTTATTCCCGTCTTGCCACAGAATTTTCAAATGGGTTAGCCTTTCAGAACATCAGTTGTTACCACTTACTGACTCTATTCTGTTTGCCTTCTGCCTCATTAATTTATGTCTTGTATTTACCCCTTCTCTTAGTCACTCTCTCATCGTTGGGACAAATACCTGATATAACGTAAAGGAGGAAAGCTTTATTTTGGTTCATGTCTTAGAAGTTTCAGTCCTTGTATGATTGGCAGCATGGTGGAAGGGCTTGGGTGAAGGAAAACAGCTCATGTCAGGGCAGCTGGGAACCAGAGAGGGGAGAGAAGAGCTGGGAGGACAGGTACACCACAGGGACCGCCTCTCCTGGCCAGACCCTACCTCCTAGCACACATCATCCATAATCCAGTTACCCCGAAGCCCTGCCTATGAGTACACAAGGCTTTGGGGGACATCTCAGACCTAAACCATAGCACTCCTTGGATACTTGTTTGTTTTAGGGTTCTTTTGGGGGGCTGAACTAGGGATTGAACCCAGGGCCTTCACACTGAGGTACATCCTCAGCCACTTTGTATTTTTTATTTTAAGATAGGATCTCTCTTGCTAAGTCTCTAAGTCAGCCAGGGTGGGCTCAAACTGTTTGTTTTTTTTTTTTGGTACCGGGGATGGAACTCGGGTCCTTGCACTTGCAAGGCAGGTGGTGGAACCACTGAGCTAAATCCCAGGCCCCTGGGCTCAAACTTTCAATCCTCCTGCCTTAGCCTCCCAAAATGCTGGGATTTCAGGTGTGCATCACCACACCCAGCTCTGGCTCTTTTTTTAACTTCTTGAAATAAAATGTTTTGTCATTGATTTTCTTCTTCTGCTCTATACGGTGTGTGTGAGTTGTGAGTGTGTACACTAGATCCCCCTTATCTGGGGGATAGGTTTCAAGACCCCTGGGGTTGTCTGAAACTGCAGACAGTACTCACAGTCAGTCTAACGATAGCCAAGACAGCCAGTCTGTTAACTGAGACAGTGCTGAGTACCCTGGGAAGGAGCAGGACAGCACCAGATTCATCTCGCTACTCCAAATAGCATGCAGCTTAAATCTTAGGAATTGCTTATTTTCATATTTTTAGACCATGGTTGACCACGGGCAACTGAAACTACAGAAAGCAAAGCTACGGAGAATGGGGACTGCCATATTTATATACATAAATAAATCTGAACATTTCCCCTAGGTAGTGCTTTGATTATACCCTGTAACCATATTTATTATTATTCAGCTCAAAAGATTTTCTAATTTTTATTATAATTTCTTTTCTTAACTGTAGGTTATTAAAAATGCATTTTTCAGTTTCTGAACTGAAGACATATTCTAGTTAGCTTTTTTCTTTTTTTTGGTACTGGGGATCGAACTCAGGTCCTTGCGCTTGCTTGCAGGGCAGGTGGTGGCACCACTGAGCTAAATCCCCAGCCCTATTCTAGTTATCTTATTGTTGTTAATCACTATGGCCAGAGAACATGATTTGGATCTCTTAAAACTTCTTGAGACTTGGTTTGTGGCCCTTTTCAGTTAGTTTTTATAAATACTTAACTGAAAAGAATAAGGATTCTGCCTTTGTTGGGTGCTAAGTTCTATATGCCTGTTAAGCCACATTGGCAAGGAATTTAATTTAAAACTTCCAAATCTTCCATATTCTTACTGATTTTATCCATTTCTTCTATCAATTATTTTTAATTTTATTTTATGAAAAAATAGAACAAAATTTCATAATCGTAAGAGAATAATAGTAGTTATTACACTGTAACTATTATCTTCAAAGTAGTTAGAGCACGACACATTTTCTATCAGTGACTGAGACAGGTTGGAAAGTCCTAGTGTGGCGATTTTTTTGTGCTTTGGCTGTTTTGTCACTTTTAATAGTTTGATACTCTGGTATTAATTGCATATAAACTTAAATTTCTATGTATCTTTCTGGGGGCTGGAATCTTGTATTATTATGAAGCGTCCCTCTTTATCTCTAGGGATGCTCTTTGCCTGAAAGTCCGTTTTGTCTGCTACTTGCGTAGTTATACCAGCTGCTTTCCACTCATTTGCATGTGTGTTCAAGTCGGCCTCCCTAAACCATTATGTTATGTCTGGACTTGTTTGTCTAATCCTTTACCCTTTGTTCTTACCTGGGCCATTTAGTCCACTCATACGTTTTTTGTTTTTTGGGGGTTTTTTTTGGTACTGGGGATTGAATTTGGGTCCTTTAGTTTGCGGGGCAGGCAGCAGAACCACTGAGCTAAATCCTTGGCCCCACTCATAGGTTTTTAATGTGTAGGAATAAGTTTATTGAAATCAGTTTAGTTCAGCCTGATTTCACTGGTTAGTCCGAGTCACATGGCCAGCCTATGTTTGACCAAGTTTACACGACAGCCCTTTTCGTTAAACCACAGCTCTATTTGGGCTGACAGATGCCACCCTACTCTCTTGTGGCTTTTTCTTCTGCTCTTTTTGCCTAGTTTTGGATTCACTGAGTAGGGCTTTATCATTACATCCCACTGTCCCCCTAGTAGTTTGAAATTTATGCAGTCCAGTCTGTGTGGTTTTGTAGTGCATGCTTCGCTATGGGTGTGCATGTGCATGTATGTGTGGTGCTGGGGATCGAACCCAGGGCCTGGTGCGTGCTAGGCAAGTGCTCTACCAGCTACTCCCCAGCCCACATGCTTAACTCTAAAATGTCTACATTTAGTTAATAGCATTACCTTCTTCTCAGATGAAATCAAGCACTAAGTTAAAACACTTAGCCTTATGCCTTCTCCCATCCTATCAGTGATTTTTTTCTGTATATTTAACCTGCCTTGTTTTTTTAAGCCTTGTAGACATTATTATATTTTAATCTGGTACTCCGTTAGATCTATCTGGAAAGATCTGGTATGATGGTAACCATATCTCGGGGGAAGCCCTGATTTGGCATGTTTACCAATTCCCCTGTGAGATTTGTCAATAGGTTCTTATAAGCCCGTATAAGGTGACTCCTCTGCGTGTGCATATGTGACTTCTTTGCTCTCCATTCTTTCTTGCATATTAAACTTCCATCCTGGTGATTTTCCTTCTGCCTAGTGCATTCCTTTTACTTTCCCTTAGGGCAGGTCTGCTGGTGGTAAATTATCCTCTAGCAGAATTGTTTGAAAATAAGCGAATTTTATATCATGACTTGAAAATCATTTTATTTCACTCTTATTCATGCTGACTATAAAATTCTAGTCTGCCCGGGGATTTAGCTCAGTGGTTCTGCCACCTGCTTTGCAAGCGCAAGGTCCTGAGTTTGATCCCTGGTACAAAACAAACAAACAAACAAAATAAAATTCTAGTCTGGCGACTTTGTTTTTCTCTAGGACATGTAAAATACCATTCCATTATCTTTTAATTTTGTTGTTGCACCCCAAGTCCATTTAATCTGGAACTCCCTTACAGTTGATGGGCCTCTGGCCTCTGGATAACTTTGTTTGTTGTTTTGATCTCTACATTTACACTCTGCTACATCTAGATAGGGATTTCTTCTCATGTACCTTGCGTAGAATTTGTTGGTCTTTTTGTTTATTTTATTTTTTTTTTGGTACCAGGGATCGAACTCGGGACCTTGTGCTTGCAAGGCAGGCGCCGGAACCACTGAGCTAAATCCCGGGCCCTGGTGGTCTTTTTGAATGTTTGGATTAGGGGTGGGGATTGAACACAGACTCCTCCTGGCGAGTACTCTGCCACCAAGCAGCCCTTTTCTCAGATTTTTATTTTGAAACAAGATCTCAGTGCCTAAAGTGGCCTCAGACTTCTGATCCTCCTGACTCACCACCCTTTTTAAAAATCTTTCTTCTACAGAGCTTTTTGTCCCTTTCCTTTATATTTTTCTTTTCAATTTAACATATAACTCTATGTTACTCTGAACTCCCTCTCAGCACTTTGATCCGCTCCAAAACATATCATTATTTACTCACCCCTTCTGTTGTTCTAGTTAGATTTTTCACAGTGATGAATTACATTGCAGTGGATAGCCTTATACAATAATCTTTCATTTTATTTAAGATTATTCAAAGATGGAATTCTCAGATCCAGGAGCTATACAGTTGTAAGGATTTTGATACATGCTAGTTTCCAAGGGGGCAGCACCAGCAGCGATTAGGATGTCTGTGTCTCTCAAGATAAGTAGGCGGCTACTTTAATAGGCTGGTGACTCACATTGGCAGAAGACTGGAAAGGTATCAAAGGTCCCATAGATAGAAATCTCCTCCCATCCCACCTGGAGCTGCAGCCACTGAGCAGCTCCCATCCCCAAGCCAGCTCACTGTTGCCAGGCCATGGGGGGTTCCTTTTAGGGCGCTGAGATAAATGTGGCTTAGTGTCCCAAGCCCTGTTTGTTCTGCATAAATGTCTTATTCCTGCCCTATTGACACATAAGTACTCCCTCACCTGGGTCACTCTGCATGACACCCCATGGGCAGGGCAGGCAGCTGCAGACCACTGGACTGTCCACCAACAGACACTGCAGCTGCTTCCAGTCATTTGCTTCAGTAGCACACGCTGCCTGGGCCGCCCACGTGTGGCAGCCTCTTAGGGTGAATTCCCAGAAGGGATCACTGGGAGAAGGATAAGCCCATCAGCATGAGGACAAAGTTTGCCACCTTGCCTGAGCAAGGCCCAGGTGCTTTCCACTCTGACACCCCCTGCACTGCAGGATTCAGAGGTCTGGGGATGGGGCCAGAGTGCTGGGTAAGGGAGATGTGGCCGGTGGGTGGGTCAGCTGCCCTCCTTCCTGCCTGTCCCCAGGGTGATGCTGACCGGGACACTGTCTGATCGGCAGCCAGCTGAGCTCCACCTCTTCCGGAATTATGAGGCCCCAGAGGCCATCCGGGAGCCTCGCTTCAGCCAGAACGTTAACCTAAAGCCTCCAGCTCAGCCCGAAGGTGAAAACCCAGTTCGATGCATCTGTGGGAAGCAATTGGCTTGGACGCTGTGGGCGGTGGGTGGGAGTTGCAGGCTTGACATCAAATTGCCCTGGTGTCAGATGGTTGAGGACAGACATTCATGGGGCCCCTTGGGCTTTGGCCAGCTAGAGGAGAGCTGAGGAGGTCGTCAGTGGCACCCTGCCTTCCAGAGGACTGGGGCTCAGTGGCATGACCTGGGAGGCCTGCTTCTGAAGGGTTCCCAGACTAGCCAGGCGTGGTGGTGCACACCTGTAATCCTAGCAGTCTGGGAGGCTGAGGAAGGAGGACTGCAAGTCTGAGCTCAGCCTGGGCAATTTAGCACCTTAGACCTTGACTGAAAATAAAAAAAATACTAGGGATGTAGCTCAGTGTGAAAGCCCTAAATTCAATCCCCAGTACTGCCACAAAAAAAAAAAAAAAAAAGAAGAAGAGTTCCCAGACTTTCTGTCTTCCTGCACTGCCCCCTAACACATATTCTGGGATCTGAAGTGCAAGGTCTTATACCAGTCCTTTGTGCCACTGGGCCACCTCCTCCCCCAACTCCAGAGCAGCTGGTGTGGCGGGCAGCCCGGAGCAGTGGGGCAGCCCCCACCTACTTCCGGCCCAATGGGCGCTTCCTGGATGGCGGGCTGCTAGCCAACAACCCCACTTTGGACGCCATGACCGAGATCCACGAGTTCAACCAGGACCTGATCCGCAAGGTGAGAGCCGAGTAGGGTAAGAGGGCCTGGGCATGAGTGTGAGCTGCAGAGTCACCCAGGACAGCAAAGGCTGCACCCCACACCCACCATAACGGCCTAGAACCCAGCAGGTGCTTAGAGGGATTCCAGGCCCATTCTGCAATGTGTGCTGAGAGCACTAGGATGAGTTCATAGCATCTGCAGATAGTGGGGAGGGCAATGTGCGTGGCCCTATCTGCCACTCTGCCCCACAGGGAACATGTGCTTTCCGAAAGGAGCTCCTATCCCGTGCAGAGTCTGCTCTGGCAGGGACACAGTCTCTTGGTGTCCCCAGGAGCTATGCAGGGCCAGGAGGGGCAGGGCCTTTGCTCTGAAGCCTGGGGACCCATTCTGAGGCCCCTGGGGACAGGATGGTGCAGAGTCAGTGGCTCTCCTGCCAGCGGAGGCTGCCCACCCAGTCTGTCCTTCACTTTAGCTGCCGAGCAGGGGTGGGGGGACAGTGCCTGCCCCAGGTGCCATGAGGACCCAGTGGCCATGGCCTGTGAAGTACCAACAGGATGGGCTTCCTGAAGGGCTCAGACCTAAGTCTGTCCAGTCAAAGTCCTGTTAAGGATGAGGGGCCTGGGTTCCAGAGCAGATTACTCAACAGGGTTACCAAGGTCACCCAGCAAATCAACAGCAGAGTTTGTTAAACAAATGCCAGGCAGCACCAAGTCTCAGCCCCATGACCCACATGTGGCTGGGGAAACTTCTTCCTGGTCTGTCCCAGCCTGGCTGAGAGTCCTGATGGTGAAGCAGGGCGATCACACCCTTCCACGCACTGCCTGGAGGATTAATGAGATAATGGTGTGACACCTATGAACAGCAGAGACCAATGACCGATCCCTCCCCTCCCTTCCTTGGCCTGACCTTGAATTGTGCTCAGCCCACAGGCTGGCAGGAGCACCCACAGCCAGGGGATGTGAGGCTTTTTTGGTACATATGGGGCTTTCCTAGGAGATCTGAGTGACACCACACCAGCCCTTCAGGAAGGGGGTTGGGGGCTGCAGCTTGGGCACAACCAGACCCCGCCTGCAGGGGCCGGCCAGGAGCAGTGCCCAGGTGTACCCAGGTGTGCCCTGGTCCTCTGGCCTCTTCCCCTCTGTGGTGCCCCCAGTGCCTCTCTCTCTGACTCCCCTGGGTGCACCCACCCATGGCAGGGGTTCAGCTACTCCTGTCCTCTTCCCTACAGGGTCAGGGCAACAAGGTGAAGAAACTCTCCATTGTGGTGTCTCTGGGGACAGGGCGGTCCCCTCAGGTGCCTGTGAGCTGTGTGGACGTCTTCCGCCCCAGCAACCCCTGGGAACTGGCCAAGACCGTTTTTGGGGCCAAGGAACTGGGCAAGATGGTGGTGGACTGTGTGCGTCTGGGCCCCGGCTCCAGCCTGCTTCCCTCGGGCTCTCCACCCTCTCCCTGGGGTCCACTAGATCTGTCAGCCTCTTCAGCCAGCTGCAGGGGTTGGGGGGAAGATCCCCAGGACAGCAGTTCATGATACCCCCTACCCCTTGCTGCCACAGTGTGTATGCTCAAGCATCCTCTGGCCGTGGAGCCCTTTCTGCAAAGAGCTTGGTGTAGAAGCCCAGAATACAAGGACGAAAGGCTAGAATATACAGGGACAAAAGCTAAGGGGGAGGGGACGGGGAGCCACTCAGCTGCTGACCCCACCCTCTTTCGGTGACCCCAGACAGCCTCTCTTGAGCCACATGTGAAACCCCTGCCCCAGACTGCACAGCTGGGGTCTGAGGCCAAGGGAGTGGGACTCGCCTTCTGTTGACCCTCGCTAGAACCGGGGGTCTCCAGGGTGGGGCTGCAAGGGACGCCAGGGTAGGCTGTGCTGGGGCTGTGGCCTAGGCTCATAGAGGCTGTTTCTCCCCAGTGCACGGACGCTGATGGGCGGGCTGTGGACCGCGCCCGGGCCTGGTGCGAGATGGTGGGGATCCAGTACTTCAGGTGAGGCCAGGACCCCAGCCACGCACCACCCGGCCTGGTGGGACCCATTGACCCCTGCCCGCAGCATGAGCCTTCCCTTCCCAGGGGGCTGCTGTGTTCCCCAAGCCCACCCCATCCTAGCTCTTGTCCCCACCCTATCTGGGTGACCTCTCTTCCTTGGCCTGGACAGACTGAACCCCCAGCTGGGGACAGACATCATGCTGGATGAGGTCAACGATGCAGTGCTGGTCAATGTTCTCTGGGAGACTGAGGTCTACATCTACGAGCACCGAGAGCAGTTTCAGAAGCTGGTCCAGCAGCTGCTCTCACCCTGAGCCCCTCCCTTCCCTGCGGCGAGGCCACTGGCACCCAGGCAGAGCCAGGGCCAGGCAGCTCCGAGTCCTTTGGTGGACTGGGGCCCGGGACGCACGCAGCTTTCACCTGAGGCTGGTCCCTCTCCTGCCCACCTTCCTCACCTTCTGTCACTGCAGGCTGAGTGTCCAGAGTCCTCGGTGCCTTTCCCTGGCTGAGGGACATGACCAGTGGCCCTGTGCCCCCTGAGCTACAACACTACAATGCCCAGTGCACCCTGCAGCCCCCAGACCTGCAAGGGCCCCCAGGTTTCCTAGTGGGCACAGCCCACTGCACCCTCTCTCTGGGGTGAAGTCTGTCACCCCCCGCACACCGGAAACCCGGGCTCCAGGCGTGGCATGCCCCATTCGACTTTGCCCCTCTGTACATCCAGCCACCCTGTCCTTGGAGCTGCCCCACCCTGAATCCTCCCCAGCTCTCAAAGGTCACCCTGTGAGATCACTTAATCTTCCCTACAAAAGCATTTGAGAGTGGGGAGGGGATGGGACCCCCCAAACTGTGAAATAAATGGTTTGGACCTCCGTCGGCCTGTGTTACGTGCACCGAGGTGCGAGTGTGCCCTGTCCCCCAGCCCCACCTCTCAGCCACCACCTGGCCTCTTCGTGTGCCCTGTGGCCCTGGCTGCTGGGGCAGGGGCACCTCTCCAGGCCTCTGCAGAACAGGCCAGTGGGGTGTCCAGGGGCAGCAGCAGGTCCACCTGCCCCAGGCAGCTCCTTAGGGATGGACAAGAGCCCATCTGAGAGTTGGGGTGACATCAAGGACAGGGCCCCTGAGTGAGCAGGGCCACAGTCTCCTCAGATCTGTGCCCCCCTCTCTCTGGCATTTAGAGGACCTAGGTGGTCAGGAATGGATGTGGGAGCTTTGGGGGTACAGTGTCCCCCCAGGCATGGATCTTAGGGGCTCAGAGCAGAGACAAGGTCTGAGGGCAGCAGTGTGTCCAACACATGGGTGGGCTGACCCCAGGGCTGCTTTGGGGAGCCCGGGAGGAAGGCACCAAGCACTCTAGCCCGGTGCAACGGACAGTGCCTGCTAGGGACCAGTGCCAGGACAGGGCTCTGTGAAGACGAGGGGGCCTGGGGGAGTCCCGCCCGCTGTGCCCACTGGCCCGCACTGAGATAAATAATGGAAGGGCAGGCCACATGAACCCAGGCGTCACAGGATGCCTTCCCTGGCGGCTCTGGTTACGCCCCAGATCGCACTGACATCCCTGCTGGTGAATTATTAAGCAGCCACCTCCTCCAAGGCCACCCTGTGTGCAGGTCCCACTCCTGCCTGTTCACTGCCTGCCGAGCACCGGGCTCTGCAAAGACTGACCTGGGGGTGCCCAGTCCTGCTCCTGCCACGGTTCCTGCCCAGTGCCCACGTGGCCACCCCATGGCACCTGAGATGGACCAGTTCTACAGGTCCACCATGGCCATCTACAAGGTGAGCACAAAGCCAGGTTTTGGAGGCCCAGCCTGCCCTGAGAACAGGGTGGATTTGGGCCTCAGGTTCTGGGAAGGAGGGCAGAGCCAGGCTGGGCCAAGCTACGGGCTCAGGAGTGGGGGTGGCGGGAACAGTCAGCCTCACACTCAACAGCACCCCTACTTCCTGCTCCCAACAAGGCAGAATGCCCCAGGGACCCAATTTGCTGAGTCCTGAGATGGGAGTCCCAGGGGAAGGCTGGGGCCAGGGGTGGGGAGTGGGCACTCTCTCCCTCGATCTCATTTCTGAGTCCTTCCCTCAACTTCCTGTGAGGACATGCTGCAGTGTCCATGGACATTTATTGAGGGCCGGGGATTTAGCTCAGTGCTTCTGCCGCCTGCCTCACAAGTGCAAGGTCCCAAGTTCGATCCCCGGTACCCCCCAAAAAACAAACCCATGGACATTTATTGAGCACCTCCTATATGCAGGACCCTTTCACATGTAAGCCTTACCTCACCGAACCTGTGAAATAGAAAATAGCTACCATTTGATAGATGAGAAAACCAAGACCGCAGAGGTCAAACGGCTTATCAAGGTCACCAGAAGGAAGAGGTGCTGCTGGGATTTGAATCAAAACCCAATTCCAACTCCAAGTCCAGGGCTGTCTCCACCACCCAGGCTGTTCTCCAGTGGGCCCCAACCCGGGGGGCTCATACTGCCTCCACACAGCCCCGTGTGTCCAGCCCAGAGAGGCTTGGATGTGGGGCGGGGCAGGCCATGCTGTTGCCAAGCTTCGGGCCCGGGGAGGAGGAGGTGTCCCATGCCGGGCGTCCACCTCTGCCAGACCACTGTGTGAGCAGCAGATGACACAAGGGGACCCTGGCCTGGATCAGGCCCCCAAAAGATGGCCTTCAAGGCCCTGCAGCCAACGGCCAGGGTTCTGGCTTTCCCGGGGTCAGGGTGGGTGCCTCTGTCCATTGCTCCTTCTTCTCCTGTCTCCATGCCCGGCCTCCCTCATCCTCGGGTCCAGAGCATCATGGAGCAGTTTAATCCTGCCCTAGAGAACCTGGTGTATCTGGGCAACAACTATCTCCGGGCCTTCCATGGTGAGTGCCCAGCTGGCGCCCAGCCCCTTGGCCTTGCCCACCCTACCACTGCCGGGGTCTCCTCAGCCCAAGTCCTCCAGCACACCCCGTCGCCTCACACCCGTGCACCTCCTGTACCCACACAGCCTCTGCTCCATCCTGTCCACACCCATGCCCCAGTGCCCCCCATGTGCCCCAGATGCTCCTGAGACCAGCGCGAGGTGCTGCAGGTCCCCCACAGCTGAGTGTACACCCCGACACACACAGCTGAGACCAGGATGCCACCCTCAGAACCCACCCCAGGGTGGGAATGGTGGTGGATGCCTGTAGTCCCAGCACTCGGGAGGCTGAGGCATCAGGATTTCTGTGAGTTCAAGCCCAGCCTGGGCTACATAGTTCAAGTTCAACCTGAACTACGTAGTGAGACTCTGTCTCAAAACATAAAACAAATCACCCCAGGGTTACCTCCGTTCCCAGCCTACACTGGCCCATGCTGGATTCCTCTGCTTTGTCCCATGAGACTGGCACCCCTTTGCCCGCTGTGCTGTGGCCTCCATAGCTTTCCACACCTTCTGCCAGCAGCACCAGTCAACACCAAAGCGAGGGCCACCGACCTGTCCCTCCCCTGCAGGCCCTCAGAGTCAAGGCCGGCTTCCCCTGCCCTCTCCCGGTCCCACTCCATCCCCAGCCCTATCCCCACCCTCCACATGGTCACACACAGATGCCGCACTCCACCCACGACAGACAGCACCAGGGCAGCCTCCCTCTCGCACACCTATGCCAGGCCCCAGGTGTCCCTTGGGCACACTCTGCCCAAAGCAGGTCCTCCAGAGGATGGGGACAGACGCAGGGGCCAAGGCTGGACCATCCCTTGTCTCCTCAGCTCTGTCAGAGGCGGCTGAGGTGTACTTCAGCGCCATCCAGAAAATTGGAGAGCAGGCCCTGCAGAGTTCCACCTCGCAGATTCTGGGTGAGGCACTCCCCTTTCACTGTACCCCCTCTTCTCAGGTAGGGTAGGGGTCACTCCTCCCAGCTGGGCCCCCTGCCAGGCCTCCGTTCCCAGACCCGGGTTCTGCCTTTGCCCACTCCTGGGGTCCAGGGGGGTTCCTTTGGCACACTCACCGTCCCAGCAGCCCTCACCCCAACATAGGCCTTCAGTCAGGGGTCTCCAAGCCACTCCCCACAGGGCTGTGCCCAGGATGGGATAAGCCTGCAGGTCCCCAAAGCCAGAGGGGAAATTCCCGGACTTTGGTTCTAAATTCCAGCCTCAGGACTGGCTTCTGGGAAGAACTGGGTGGTGGCGGTGCCACTCCCCACACTGAAGCTGCTGCTCCCTCTGCCTTCAGGTGAGATCTTGGTGCAGATGTCAGACACTCAGCGGCACCTGAACTCAGACCTGGAGGTGGTGGTGAGTAGCAGTCCCCAGGGACTGGGGTCAGCAGGCAAGCAGGCTGTGTTCCGAGGAAATAAAGGGCTCAGCTCTCAGAGTCCTTCCAGGGCTGACTTCCTCGCTCTCATCAGTGCAATTAAAGAGCCACCCTTCTGGTGCCTGCCAGGGCCGTGCTTTGCTGGGTACCTTCCCCACAGCAGCTTGATCAGCCTCAGTAACCTCAAAGGCTGCGGCCATTTCTACCCCATTTACAGAGGAGAAAACTGAGTCTCAGACCCAGTCACTGCCCATGATTCCTGAGTAAGTGGGGGAGCTAGGAAGAGAAGAGCCATTGCCCAGAGAGGGGCGTCAGGCCCAGGCTGTGGTCACCCCCACCAGTCCTTGCTCCTCCCTCCAGTCTCTCTGGGAGCAGCTGCAATATCACTCCACACCACCACTGCCCACAGAGCTAAACGGGCCGCTCTTTTCAGGCATCCAGGCCTCCAGCCCCTGCACCCTCACTAGAGCCATGATGGCCCCTGCAGATATGGCTACCGGGAAGCCGTCCTGCTCTGCTCTCTGCTGAGACCCACCAGCCCCTCCCCCGCTATCCACCCCAGGAGGTGCGCGCGCACACACACACACACACACACACCCTATCCCAGGCCCAACAGCTGCTTCTACCTGTTCTGAGCCATGGCGGGAAGAAAGGGCTCATAGCCAGAGCACCTGGCTTCAAACCCCAGCTCTACCAGTTGCTGGCTTGGTGACATTGGACTCTGTGCCTTAGTTTGCAGATAATTGAACTGCCTTGCAGGGGTGAATTAATAGGGATGAACTGTTTGTCTTGGCACTGGGAAGCCCTGGGGACCTTGTGTGGGTAACCGGAAGTAGACTGTAACCTGCCCATCTCAGTTCTTCCTGGCTCACTGGGAGCTCTTCAGGGCTGTGCTCTTCTGTTCTCTGTTGCTTTGGGCCTGGAGGGGCCTGGCATGGAGCAGAGGTTCCCTGTGTGGTGAAAGTAAGGTGGAAGAGGGAGCGGGGCTTGAGGAGGAGAGAGGGCTTCCTGGCAGATGGAGCAGGGGCAGAGGGAGCCAGAGCCCAAGCTGGGCCAGGAGAGGCAGATGGGGCCTGGTGGTGAGGTACAGGCCATGGAAGGTTCCGGAATGGCTGTGACGGTCCGTGCTCTCTAATTTATAGTCAGGGTACTTTGGGAGGACACTGTAAGATACTGACCAGTTTGGCATGGGGAAAATGGGCATCGGTACCTGCACAGGACCAAACTGTGTCCCAGGTGGGCATTGGTCATTGGTTATGGAGCCTGTGGCTGGCTGTCCTGTCCCTGTGTTCAGTGGCTCTCCACGTCACTTGGGCTGTGTAGGGACAAGTGTCACCCGGGCCCACTCTTTAAGGAGAGCTGTCCTGTCCAGACACCACCATCTTGGCTGTGACAACTAGGTAGGGCCCCCCCGCCAGCACTGTACCAGGTAGAGGCGCCTCCTCCTCCCCTGGCTCCTGCGTTCCATAATGGTATCCCATCACTTGTCCCATGTATTGCCATGGGTACTGGGACACAGCAAACAGAAATGGTGCCCTCCGCAGAGGGGGCCGGACAAAACCCACCGGAAGTGAGTATGTCGCATGGTAGATTCAAAATAGGCTATGGAGGAAAAGAAAGAGCAGGGTTTGTGTTTGGAGGATGCGGTTTTATTTTGTCAGTACTGGGGATGGATCCCAGGCCCTTCGCATTGAGCTACATTCCCAGCCCTAATTTTATTTTTTATTTTTTATTTTGAGACTAGTTCTTGCTAAGTCACTTAGTTGCCCACGCTGGGCTTGAATTTATAATCTTCCTGCCTCAGCTTTCCAGATTGCTGGGCTTATGGGTGTGCATGAGCATGCTTCGCTATATTTTTAAATTTTAAATTATAAACTAAACACAGATACAGACAATCCCAGTGAACTAATGACTCATGATAAGGCAAAGAGCCATGAAATCTCTTCCCAGGCCTAGAACTTGCCCAGGGTCCCCAGGGAGCCCCTCCATTGGGTCCCATAAAAATCACAGCCCCTTCCCCAAAAGTGGCCATTGGTCTGCGCTGACACTTCCTATGTTTCTTCATAGCTTGTCACCCAAGTGTACAGCCTGGGTCATGAGAATGTGTTCTCTCTCTCTGTTTGAAAAGAAATCATGTCTTTGGGTTTCTTTTAACCTCCTGGTCTTCCTGCATCTATTTCCTTTCCTTCTATGTTAGTTACTTTTCTCATTGCTGAGACAAAATACCTGACACCCAAAGTTCAAGGAGGAAAGGTCTATTTGGCTGACAGTTTGTAGAGGTTTCAGTCCATAGTTGGCTGGCTCCAGGGCAGGGTGGCATGGCAGAGGGGCGTGGCAGAGGAGAAACAGTCTATGGCAAATGGGCAGAAGCCACAGCAGCCATCAACAAAGCAGCAGAAGCTGCCTTCATAGTTTCTATCGAAGCTGGAAGCCTATCGATTGGTGCCACCCAGACCCAAGGTGGGCACCCTTAATCCCAGCATCACACACGCTAACCCAGCCACCTCCCCAAATTCCCATGTAGGACCGCATGGCGCCGTGGGGGACATCTAGACACAGCCCGTAAGACTTTCTTTGTCTGTTGAAGACCCAGGCCAGTTGACCCAGCCTCCAGGAGTTGCTGATCGCCCACTCTCATGCAGCTCAGGGGTCCTTTGCTCTGTGGATCCCCAGGCTTGATGAAACCTGGGTTCCATCCCACTGGCAAGGGGATGGCGGGGGAGAAGGCGGGGAGAGGAATTGCACTGTGTTCACACTGTCAGTACACAGGGTTCTCACCTCGATGGCCTCCCTTTGAGCCCTCCTCTAGCCCACTCTCCAGCTGGTTACACATATGCCCACTCTAGCACCAGTGTCTATTGCTTTGGTTGTCTGAAGCTTTTCTCCAAAGTTCTCACTGGAAAGCTTATGTGAACAAGTTTTGTCTGAGTTTTCACAGGCAGGTAATAGTTTTGTCTCTTTGTGCTGAAAGTCAGCTTTGCAGTATGTGGAATCCTTGCTCATATTCCCTCCAAACCTTTCTTCTTTTTTTTTTTTTCCTGGTACCAGGGATCGAACTCAGGACCTTGCGCTTGCCGGGCAGGTGGCGGAACCACTGCGCTACATCCTGGCCCCCTTTCTTCCTTTTCTTTGGGCATTTTAAATGGTTTTCCTCTGACACAGAGCACCGGACATTTCTATTGAAAAACCTGATTATCTATCTTTTCTGCTGTAATTCTCTTGCTCCTTTTCACCTACATGTTCAAAAGAGTGCTTCTCTTTTTCTTTTCTTTTCTTTTTTTTGAGACAAGGCCTCTCTATGTAGTTCAGGCTGATCTTGAACTCGCTATGTATCCCAGGCTGGCCTCAAACTCACTGCAATCCTCCTGCCTCAGCCTCCTGAGTGCTGCCACCAGGTCCAGCCTCTTTTTCTTTTTGTCAAGTCTAGTACTTTTTCTAGATTGCATCTTGGTATTGATCAGATGGGGTTGATATTCTCAATTATGCAATGTACTTTCTAAATATATAATTTTAATTTTTAAAATAATTTCAAGCAAGTGAACTTATATTTCTGGAGTTGTTTTGTTCCCTTTCTTTGGATTTTTTCTTCAGGGCCTCCTATTGTCTATGTGTTAGATCTTCATAGCCTACCTTCAGTATTTGTCTCTTCCTACACTTGATCTTAGCCAGAAGGCTGAGAAGTGATAGTATTTGTCTCTTCCTTTTGGATATTTTGACTTTTTATTTTATTTCTACTTTGTTTTTCCCTCTGGCTAATATTATGATTTAATCTCTGGAGCTAGGATGAACCCTATAGTACAATCCCTATTGTAGATATGGATCTAAAACCATAGACATCTATAGAGATCAGCTTTATTGAGATATAATTCACGTACTATAGAATTCACCCTTTTAAAGTATAGAATTCAGAAGTCTTTAGTTTTTTTATTTTTTGAGACAAGGTCTCACTACATAGTTCAGGCTGGCCTTCAACTCACTATGTAGCCCAGGCTGGCCTGGAATTTGCAGCAATCCTCTGCCTCAGCCTTCCAAGTGCTGGGATTATGGACAGACAGACTGCACCACCACACCCAGCAGTTTTCAGTATATTTACATAATTGAGCAACCATCTCCACTATCTACTTTTAAAAATACTTTCATTACCCACCCCCAAACAAACTCTTTGAACCCGGTAGCTCTCACTTTTCTTTTCTTTTTTATTTAAAAGTTTTTCCAAGCTGAGCATGGTGGCACGCCTGGAATCCCAGCACTCTGGGAAGCTGAGGCAGGAGGATTGCAAGTTTGAGCCCAGCCTGGGCTACTTAGCGACTGAGCAAAAACTCTGTCTCAAAATAAAAAATAAAGGGCTAGGGATGTAGCTCAGTGTTAAGGTCCTGGATTCAATCCTTAGTACCACAAAAAAGAAAAGAGAAAAGGAAAGAAAAAAAATTCTTCCCTTTTCCTTTATGTTTCTCTTAAGATATTATTTACTGTGTTTATTCACTTTTATATCCTTATAGTTGAGTCTTCAGTACTAAACCTATGTTTTCTTTTTCAGTTTCTAATTCCTTCTGACCTTTTCCAATTCTCAGCCACACTGTTTTCTTCCTGTCTTGTACTCTCTCTTTGTGTCTTTTGAGCCCTAGGTGCCAGTTTTCTTCATTCCACCTGTCTTCTGGCACCTTCGCTGTCTGTGGGAACACTGTTCTGTTGCACATTTTTTCTTCATAATAAATTTCTGTTGGATTTGACTTCAGAGTTGTTGCTCTTTTTTACAGGAAATCAGTTTTCCTGTGAAATGTTAGGGGGCAGGGAGTCAGGAAAGCTTTTCACACCTCATAGGTCTCTTCCTGTTTGTCTTAGTTACTTTTCTCTCATTGCTAAGACAAAATACCCAACACCCAAAGTTAAAGGGGAAAAGATTTATTTAGCTCAGAGTTTGCAGAGGTTTCAGTCCATAGTCGGCTGGCTCCAAGGCAGGCTGCCTTGGCAGAGGAGAACC